TAAATTATGGGGTGTGGGATAGACTTACCTTCACGTGGTGCACCCTGGGCAACGTATACTCATACGGCAAAAAGGTCTATTAACTGGCAGTTGACTTCTCACTTCAAACAACCATCACCCCCACTCTATGTCATATTTGACCACTACACAGTACTCATCTTACCCTTTCTAGGCCTTTCTGTCTCTTTTACATCTGTATTCCCCCTCCCGAATTCTTCTCACTTTGATGTTTCTCCTCCCCTTTGTGAAGCTTGAGGTCAACTAAAGGGCTAATGATAACTATCAAAACGCCTGCCGTTTGTTATAAATAAATATTAACTAAATTATATTCCCTGTTAGAGGGAAAGTAGAGATGATTCAAAATCTCACCCCTTAAACAAAAAGGGAATCGAATAGATGTGTCAATTGAGTTAAGAGTATTTGTAAAACAACTTACGAGTAATGCTGGGAGTAGACTTCTGACGTTCTACGAGACCTACGCCACCTGAAACCATTAAGAGGCCGTCAGTAGACAGAGGCTGTTGCATGGAGTGCGGCGGCGCTGAGGAGTTATTGTACAATGAGGGATTGCCACCAACAAGACTGAAGAAGCTGACTGTCTCTGTGTGCCCATAGCCACTCACCTGACGAAAAGGCAATGATTACATAACAGAGAAGCTACTTATATCTTAAAAGTAGTATAGGAACGTACTGAAGCACGGGAGAGATCCAGTTGAGAGGAAGGTGGAGCAACTTCCTGAAAGTTTTCTAAAATCGACAAAAGAAAGGCTTATATATATATTATAAGAGAACAGGATTAATCAAAACAGCAGAGAAGAAACTAACCATTTTCAAAGGAAGTGGAGTTTGAGTTTTTGGATGCATTTGATTGGTCGAAAGTCTGTTTCGATGCGGAGTCATGTTCGAAGGGGATACAAGCGACATGACCTCCCTTAGTACCAATCCAGAGGTGGTCTGTGGAGGCTTCCAATGCTGTAACCGACGCAGACACTGCAAGGAGGTGACCATCATAAGCGCCCGTATCTGGAAAAAAGGGAATATTAATGCGAAACAGAAATAACACGCGGCACCAGGGTGAGACCTTAATTCTCATGAGCATTTCCCTGGATGAGTTTGGCAAAATTTTTTTACCCAAGTCATTAGTATAATTTGTCACGATGTCTGCAAAGTAAAGAGCCATGAATCGGCGACAATCGCAGTGGTGGACATTCATGATAGACACGAACATGGTCAGCTCCAATGATAAATACAACCCAATAAGGTAGTGAAAATTAGAGTTTCTTGAAATATAAAGTGTGTGAGCAACTCAGTTCCAAAAACTAAGTGGTTTTGACATTTCCAAACATTTAATCTGATTATTTCACATTTGTCTTGTGTCGAGCCCATACTCTTGATTAGATCGAAGTGTGAGGTGAGGCCTTCTTTTACTCCAGTTAGAATTCCACTTGCAACTTGCCGGTATTTAGGTAGAAGGTACAGGGTGTAACCTGGGAACTGGTAGTACTTCAATTTTTCATCCGAAATGTTTGCTTCCATAATTGTGAAAATGTCTACATCAAAGGTTTGTAGGATTTTCTGTACTTGGATCCTTTTGTCCGGTGACATCCCTCCAGCATTCCACTGGAGGATCTGAAGACGTTGTCATTCCCCCTGACGAGGGCGATTTCTCTTATAGCCTTGTTTCAAGCTAACCATAATAAATAGAAGTCAAAATGCCGAGTGATAGACTTTTTTGCCGTACGAAGATACGTTTTCCAGGGAGCACCACGTGGAGGTAAGTCTATCGCGCAAATATAAAGTGTGAGCAACCCAGTTCCAAGAAAAAACTAAGTGCATTAAAACTCTCGGATCGCTTAAACCTGCTCTTTCAAAATCTCCTTGATCCTCCTTCCCACGCTGTCATTAGCTTAAAATTTTAATAGAAAAGACCATTAGAAAAGACACAGTAGACAGGTTTTTGCTTCAGGGGATAAATGACAAATTATCTATTTACCTACTCACCCTTAAAGACTTCTTGAAAGTGCCTTCCTGTGTCACCGCTTTGCAACAAACTCTAATCTTTTCAACTAAGCGCACAAAACGATCAGGAGGACTAATCCGATTAATATGAAAAAGAGATCAATGGCGCACAACGCGGTGCACGCAGTGAACGTGTGGACAGGTGCAACGATTAATTCTAGCCAACAAGTGGAGTGGTAGAGAAAAAGCGAGGTTCTCCTAAATGCGAGTTTCTAGAGTGCCTCACCTAAACCCAAGACAAGTGGTTTTGAGCACCTTTTAGAAGACAGCGGGGGTCACACAGTGTTGAACGGTTCACAAATTAAGAGAAAGAGAGAGGGAGGGGAGAGGGGAGCTTACCAACAGTTTCATTAATGATATACGCCATATCGACAGTTTGCATTGGCTCGTAAGTGAAGGCATTGAAAAGGCGCAGTGTAGGATCATCTCGAAGTGAAATCCAGACACCATCACGACACCAACACAATTGACGCACTGTGTGACTTGATTTAGGATCAACCTCGAATCTAAAATTAGCCACAAATTAGATTAGCACAAAGCCATGCGATTACTAGAGACCCGACTAGAAGGCTAAATGGTGTGACTCAAAAACAAAGAAGAACCAAACCAAGCCTATTGGCCTTCATTCAAATATATGCATACAGTTGAACACTAGTACAGCGAAGTTATGACTGCGAAAAGAGAGACAGTAAAAACCGCATTCATTAGCACATCAAAAAAATTGAGTGAAGACGAATTGGTGGAATTTCTAAGTACTGGTGAACTCTTCTCCGACTGCCTCGAAACCGATGAACTGACTACGAGTCAACAACCACCACTTATTATTATTATATATTATATTATTGAGAGATGGGGTTTGCGATAGACTTACCTCCACGTGGTGCACCCTGGGCAACGTATACTCATACGGCAAAAAAGTCTACTACTCGGCAGTTGACTTCTGACTTCAAACTACTATGACCTGACTGTTTGTCATATTCGACCTCTTTCACAATACTCATCTTACCTTTTCTCTGTCTTTGTGTCTGTCTGTCTGTCTCTTCTACATCTTTGAAACATTCTTCTGTCCCCTCTCCCCTCTCGAATTTTCTAAGGACATATTACTCACTCTACGCTTCCCGTATCTCTATCTTGCCACAAAATGTGTTGGCGTTGTACAACCTGATTCGAACTATCCCCAATCCTTGAGATTTCGATTTTGAAACTAAGATCTTATCCTGCAAGCCACTGACCAACAGCTCGGAAAGCTTTTAATTCCTACACTTTAAACGACAGTAGTTGTAACTATTCAGCATAATACTGAAAAAAAGTATTAAAGAGTGTGAACACTAATTGGGCAATGTCAGCTCAACTTCGAGAATAGCTATAAATAACTTACGCGTATAGCCGCTGAAAGGTGGTTGTATCAATAACAAGCACTCGATTTCGATTCCCGACCCATAGCGTGAGAGTAGTGGGCACTATGGCCATGGACTTGACAAGTGATTGGGCAGTGGGAGTGAATCGAATAACAACAGCCTCCGAGAGGTCCCATGCGCCAGCTGCAGTCGCCACTTCCGCCAACTCCTCCCCAATAGACAGCTGACAATTCTGAGAGGTGGAAGAGACGCGAGGGATTGGAGAGGAGGTACGAGGTGGCGGCGGAAGGGAACCACCACCACCACCACCACCAGGATTGTTGGCAGACTGATCAGCTGGATGGCGCGCCTGTCGACGAAATACCACAATGTGACCATCTGAGAGACTTACAAACACACGACCCGAGAAGTGTCTAAGAAAAGGAAAAAGGTCGCCCAAGAATTACCCACTCATCATCACAATAATAATACACACAGGGAATTAAAAGAACAATAACTTTATAATACTATTAGACCCCAGTCGTTGCGCATACGGAGGAAAGGAGAGGGGAAGAATTAAGGTGAAACTACCTCCGAAGCGATAGACTCACCTCCATGTGGTGCACCCTGGACAACGTTTACTCATGAGGCAAAAAAGGTCTATCGAACCGGTAGATGACTTCTGACTTCAAACTGCCATGACCCCCCTGGTTGTCATATTCGACCCCTTACATAGTACTCACCTTACCTTTTTCGCTCTACCTTTGTGTCTGTCTGTCTCCTCTACATCTGTAAATCGCTGTTCTGTTCCCCACCCCTCGACTTTCTGCTACTTTGATGAACCTTCCCTCTGTGAATTCCGAAGTCAGATAAATGGCTAATAATAACCATCAAATTCGACTTTCTGCTACTTTGATGAACCTTCCCTCTGTGAATTCCGAAGTCAGATAAATGGCTAATAATAACCATCAAAACGCCTGCCATTTGAAATAAATAAATAAATACCTCCGAAGCTCAATTTTTCAATTGAAACTTTCTTGCTCTGAGAGTTTCAGAAGTGTATCTCCTTTTTTTTGGTCATTTCGGTTGAAGAGGAGGAATGAACTTTATTCTGATTCCCATGAAAAAAAGAAAACAGAGAGAATAGAATTCTCTCGCATATTTTCACACTGTGTAGTCTCCAACTCACACAACATTAGAGTAGAGTGTGCATCTAAAAACCCAGATTCACACCAGCAGAGTATTTAGCCAATCAAGACGAAGATATTTAAAGCTTAAAAAGTTCGATATGCAGGTGGTATGAAATCGCCAGTTTCGATGGGAAAGACGAGAGAATTAGTTGGTATGGGAACAATAACTTTTCCTGCGTATAGGTGGTAGTGTGATGAAAGGGTGGAAATATATATTTATTTCTAAGTAATAAACTTGGCAATAACAACCATGCCCGTTAGGTTTCGACGTGTCTCGTTTGTAGTTAGACACACTTGCTGATACAGTTCGCTTCTACCCCTCCCAAATGCAACCAACAGTAACTCCAACTCGAATTGACCTCTTGATGATTTTCCAACAGAGTTTGGTTGGCGGCTTAACTGTCACCCGGCTTTGACTACTGCCTTGATAAATAGGGACGGACTTGAATTTTCAATCCCCTAGACGACTGCTAATTCAGAGTGTTTAGCCAGGGAATCGACAATTGAGGCAATAAAAAGAAGCTAATTAATTAATTAATTAATTGATTGGCTTACCTAATATTAGTGACACCAGCAGGAAGACGTGTGGATTGAAGTGGCCGGCGTTGGCTGGAATCACAGCTATGAATGAAGATATCGCCGTTTTGACAACCGATCCACACCGTTTGCTGAGCACTGGCTGGTGAAATTACGTTGGAGCCTAAAGAGAGGAGAATAAGAGAAGTGAGAGCATTTTGCAACATCAATAAGGCCTACAAATAAGCCAAAACGATTTTTACAACTCCGCTCACCTAAGTATTCACACCATGACTCTCACTAAAGAAAATAAATAAACCAGGCAGATCCTCTAAGCTTATCCAATTTCACTTTTGGCAATTAGTTTTTCAAAGGAGTCAGCTCTTAAAGCAGCACTACTCCAAGCACTTATAGGTAGATTGAGCAGTTCAATTACTTACCATTTCCGAAAACATTCGACTGCGTAGAATTCGCAAGTTTTTTAAACTTCTGCCTCTCCACGCGATAGAAATCGCCTGTCTTGCCCTCCAACTGAAGGGACAAATCCGGATCGAACGCCGAGGTGCGTTGTGACAGTCCAGCTGCCGCGATTGATGAAGACTCCGAGGAGAGTTGTACCGATGACTTTTGACGTGTCTGTTGATTTTGGAGCACCTTGAGGAGCGCCTCTGAGTCCTTTCCCGCAGTCTCCACAAAATGTCGCAGAGAGGAGAGAGTGTTGTTAGTCTGAATGCTAGCTGGACCATCCTCATCTTCCTCTTCATAGTCTTCAGGTTGCGACGTGGAGGGTGGTGGTGGTTGGGAGGTGTCCATGTGGTTGATGGCAGATGCAGCTCCAGTGGACTGTTCGCCGTCCGCACTCTCAGAGGGCACAGCAAAGGGAATTGACTCCCAAGTGGCATTGGAGAGGCGTAGCACTTCGTAATCCCTAGCCTTGGCTCCTCCAGTAATGGAGAACAAAGAATATGAGAACATTTTTCTACTCAAAAAATGCTACAATTAAAATGGGATTAAAGCTTGAAGAGTTCCATCACAATTCTCAAGATGGCTAATTTGCCACCAATTTGAAATTTTGTGATATTGGTTAATTACACACGCAACAGTAATGATCTTCTGTTAAGAGAGCACCTGTAAAACTTGTTTATTTCGCGGTCAGGTATTTTGAATTAATAAAACTAAATGACGGTGACTAAAGTTTTCGGTCGAATTATTGATGGCTCAATCCTGAATGAAACCCGCGGGGCCAGCCATTGAGTACCTTCAGCGGGAGAAAAAAAATAGCTGTCATTTCGTCTCCCATCATACACACACACACATTGTAATTGCAAAAAAGGTTAAGTTAGCAGAATAGAAAGGGAGGATCAAATTCATACGATCCAATTCCCACCTTCTAAGAGGTTAAAAATCTAATCTAATTATTCATCTATGACACACAGCTATCGACACAAAAAAACAAACTAAGATAGAAAGTAATCGAGGTGGGATTCTATTTAACATATCTTAATAATCTATAATTGGTCCTTACACACACCCCCTTGCGACTATTAAACCGGTGACCCAATTAGTTCCTTTACTGATGCTCCGTTCCAAAGCTCAATGGAGTTGCAGTGCCCGACGTTGGATTCTTTGAAATCCTATAAAGAAGGTAGGGGGATAGTTGAATGTCATCATCCACACACACACACACACCTAGATTGAATGCAGCGCAAGTGCCTTCAAACCGGTAAACTATCAATATGCACTCACTAGCAACAATTGGCTATTTCAATTCAATGGAATACATATTTACTCAAATCAAACAAATACGAAAACTTCATATGGGGCATTAGCGAAGCAAAAAATTGAGCTCTACATCTTGAAGCAAGGTTGAAGAAAGGTAACTTCAATGCAATAACGTAACATAGTTACACATATATACGGGTATCCCAAACAATGCACACACATACTTAGAACACTTGTGATGCAAGCGGTGCCATTTACGTGAACTTTCTGCAGCAGTCTGTTATGCCAAGCATTGGAGAAGACTTTGAAGATGAAGAGTTTTACTTTCAGCAAGATGGGGCACCCCCCACATTAACAACGCCACGTTAGACCATTCCTTGATGAGGTCTTGCCAAATAGGGGGATTGGACCAAGAGATTTTTTTGAATATCCTCCCCGTTCACCAGACCTCACACCTCTAGATTTTGCCCCATGGGGATACTTCAATGACAAAGTCTAAGCTACGAAACCTGCAACAATCGTTGAATTAAGAGAAGCAATTGAGCATGAATTCGTCCAAATCCCAAGGGAATTATTTCATGATGTGTGCGATTCCATTGCTTGGCGTTATCTGCAGTGTCTAGTGTAAAATGGACGTCAGTTTGAGAACAAGAGGTGGAAATAATTAAATTATAACTGCAAAATATTTTTTACTCTTTTGAAATAATAACATTCTAATTGAACGCAATATTTACAATTACCTTCAATGTTTTTACACTTTTTGGGAGCCAAAATACGCAAGTAAAATATGAAAGGCACTATAATGGAAAAATTTAACTTCTCTAAAAAGAATTTTTTAAAAAATTTTGGAGATTATAATTAACCTTTGGGTCCAAAAGGTTTCCAAAGCAACACTTAACTTGGAAAAAAAACTGATCTTATATAAAGAAAGCGCTTCTGAAACCGGTGACTACCCCCATCTCGTGAACTTTGGCCTGGCATTGTACTTTTAGACTTGGCGACAACGGCTAATTCCTTCAATAGGAGATGACAGAAATTGGGATGTCGATCTACTGAAGAAAGGTCCCGATGGACTTTCAGAGCGTCAGATGTGAACACGCCTACACCGCAGTTGCTATAAAACAAGCGCACAAACTTGGACTCACCAGCCAATTGCGAAGGCGTGAGAGTTATATGGTCAACATGCTAAAACCTATTAACCCGGTCATCTCTCATCGCTTGGCATAACCGAAATTATGATATTATTTTGCTGTGTGCGAAGCCTCATCTTGAGAAATGGCAATCTGATTATGAAAAACTTCCACTTCCTCCCAAATAACCAAGCATCTAACTTGCATCTAACAAATGACTTTTACTCCATACACACACTATGCTAAGACATTGACAAGTGGGAAGATCCTTTCAGCGGGGAGGGGGGGGGGTAGAAGGAGCTTTCCGGGCCTTTACACGTGGATATTAATGAGAAAATGGGGAATACAATTTTTTTCTATTTTTGAGGAAATTGCTTGAAATTACCTGGTACTGCGGTCATGCAAGTAACAACAGCGCGCTGTAGACAAAATGAGTCCACGTAGCGAGAGGGTTTGTTCACATCCACCACGACAATTTGCGAACGGAAGGCGGGTCTGGACTCCACTTTTACACCAGAAGGTGAGGCGGAGGAGGAAGAGGGGGAGGAGGCGGCAGAAGAAGCAGAAGAGACGAGCTTTCCTAGAGAATTAGATGTGCTGCTGCTGCTGTTGTTGTTGGCGTTGACGTTCGTTGTGGTGACGACAGCTGTATCAAGTACTCCAACAAGGCACATCCACAATTGACTGGAAAGAGACTAGGGGGCGGCAGCAAATGCAAAAGGAAAAGGGTTAAGATGGGGAACCACTTAAAAATATCCACAAGTGCTGCTGCTGATGATGATGAAAAAATATGCATTTTTTAGCGAATATTTGCCAACTAGAACAAAAATGTTGATTGGGAGTAAGTACACAGTGACCCCCACTTGGCATGGTTGACCTAATAATCACATTAAGACACATAAACTAGAGTAAACCAACAGTTTACGATGGCCGATGGGTCTGTTTGGCCCACTTCGTACCCTGTGGTGGTGTCAGGTAGTGCAGATCAAACTAATTGACCTTCCATTCCACTCGATCTAATTGTTGCGCTTTCACCCACATACGATCTTCCAACAACCCAAAGTTGCTTTGATTGCGGTAAGACTGTTACATTCCAATTATATAACAACGATTAACCTAATTAAGTAGGATTAATGAATAGCCCAACTGGCGGAAAAGGTGATAATTTGGATTTCTCAACATAGAAATTGTTTTTTTTATACAAACTTGGTGCGAATTTAGCTAATTTCAAAAAGCTGAAAGATTCTGCCAATACCAATGTGCTATTCAACTTGAGATTAAAAAAACACTCAACAAAATTATAAATAAATCATTGTTCACGCCAAACTTAACATTAAGAACTTAGAGAATAGAATTAAGAAAAAAAGATATTCGTAACAGAATACTCTTATAATGTGAAAGCAGTTATTATTTGCCAGAAAAGAGGCTGACAATTTGTCTATTATTTTGGTAATTGATTAAGTAGAAATAACATTAAAAGAACAGATAATTAGTGAACAGTTACTGTGGTTTCGAAAATCGATTGCAAATGCGTGAGAAAAAGACAATAACGAGGTAGAAACTAATCTTGAAGGCCACGGAAATGCAATTTGTTTATGTTTGCATGTGCCTATTTGACAAGTTGGAAAAGAACAATGGCTTTAGTATCACGTGATTAGCCCCATGTAGCATATAAATATACACAAATATATATATATATATATATATATATATATATGTTGGTTCGTAACATAAGTCGAGTGTGCGTGTAAGCGGAACGTATAGTCGACTCGAATGAATGAAGGAGAAGAAGATGTAATAGAACACCACAATTGAATTAGCTAAAAATATATATAAATATATATATATTGGATGCATGATTTAAAGGTGAATTCTGAGGGACTTAGCTATGCCCCAAATTGGCAACGTGAGCATCCAAGTCAGCAGTAAAAGACGTCCAACACAGGAAGGTCGATCAATTGCACATTTCGTATTTCGATTGGCAAAAAGCAAAATATAAAATAATGGATGGAGGGAAAAGGTGGAGAATCAACGTGAATTGGTTCCACTGTTATTGGACGAGAACGCATTCAGAAAATCGATCAAGCCGCCTTATTCAAATATTAGATTATGATGAAAGAAGGGTTAACACAGGCGCACTTAGTCTGTCTAAATATTTCGATGCATATTAATAGCCGATGGAGTGAAATGACGTGATTCACCCAGGGCATGATCTTGAATTCGAGATACGCATATGACACACGATAGAGAATTGAATGCGTGGGCGGATAAGTGGTTTGTTTAAGTAAACAAGCCGCGCCAGTTTTCGCCTAGAAGGCATCGGTGAACTTAAAATTCCGCCAGAACATAGACATTACGCAGTCGAATGCTTCGTTAATTGATCAGGAGTATAAACGGAGATTTGAGGGAAGACGCTTTACGGAACTCTGCTAAATTCAATGTTTGAGCCATTGCCTCTCTCTCTCTCTCTCAGAGTAGCGCTAAGACTATGAGCAACCAATAAGAGAAATTTCGCCTTTTCAACCGTCAAGAGAAAGACATTTAAATTGGAAAAACCTACACGTTTAAGTATAAAAAAACAAACGGTAAATAGGCATTTGCTGGAATCCAAGTGAAAATAAATCAAACAAATCAAATCACTCTCCATTGTTTAGTGTCAGTTGCGCTTCACACGATTTTAATTTTCACTAGTGGGGTGTGCGATAGACTTGCCTCCACGTGTACTCCCTCAAGGATTTATGGCATATATATATATATATATATATATATATATATTGTGGAACAAGAAATTGGTCACAAAAAATAGTGGAAAGGAGGAGAAGCCAAATGTCTCAAAGTCGATCAAATAGCTGCAAAAAAATTAGCATCCATCAAAGTATAACCTCACTGGAGGCCATGTGAAAGTTTAGAGAGAGAAAAAACACCAAGTTGTTTACACACAGCAAGGGTCAAAGTGAATGCATTTCAGAAAATACGCTAAAAATACCCACTTCCCCTCCAGCTAAATCTGCGTGCGAAATTCAGACCTCCAAATATGGGTGTATTTTTGCACTGTCAAGATTGATTTATTAAGGCTATTTAGAATGCAACACCTCTGACAGCCGAGCGATCAACCAAGGCAGGGGGCGAAAAGTTCGCTTTTAGTTAATTAGTTCGTTAGTTTTCCCATCAACATTTGAACCCCCCCTCCCCCACCCCGCTGGGCTTAACTAAGGCAGTCGAGAATGATGCTACGACAACTGCATTACAATATTTTTCTGGCGCAGTTTATTGGTGGGAAGATGTTTTCCAAATTACCCAGTAGCTTAAAGATTATTATTACATTTGGCCATAAGTAGCAATCTCGTTTGGTGAAAAAATTTATTGAGATAAACTGGAAGGCACTAATGTGCATTACAAGGCGAACATTAAAACTAGCACCATAACAACAAGCAATATTTGCGAGGCCTGGGGAAAATTGAATAAAAAAGGGAAGTTGGAAAGCAAGTTTAAAAAGTATGTGAGATTGCGAAAGCTTTTCTCCCCTTTATCAAGTTTGCATGCATGACACACGATCTTTAATAAAAGGGGTGTGCGATAGACTTACCTCCACGTGGTGCACCCTAGGCAACGTATACTCATACGGCAAAAAGTCTATTAACCGGCAGTTGACTTCTCAATTCAAACTACCTTGACCCGACTGCATGTCATGTTCCACCACTTCCACAGTACTCACCTCACCTTTTTTCTACCTTTGTTTCTCTCTATCTCTTTTCCATCCTTGGATCACTTTTCTGTTCCCCTTGTCGAATTTTTTTCACTTTGATGTTCCCCCTCTCCTCTATGAAGCTCGAAGTCAGCTAAATGCCTAATGGTAACTATCATAAAGCATGCCATTTGAAAT